ACAGAATATCAACAGCACCCCAGAAGCCCCTCCTGCCCTTTCCCATCCACTATTGCCCTCCACAAGGGCAGCCACTATCCCAACTCCTAACACTAGAGATTAGTTTTCAGCAGACAAACCTAGATTCATACATCCAGGTTTACTGAAGGTGTGGACAATCCCATAATCTCAGGCACAGATGGCAGGTATGGGAAATGGTAAAGCCATTTTGGAAGAGAATTTGGCAGCATCTGCTAAAACTTAAGATATATGTACTTCTGGGTCTAGCATTTCTACTTCCTAGTTTCTGCCCCAGAGAAACACTCACCTATGTGGGCAGAAAGGCAGCAAGCACAAGGGTGTTTGAAGCAGAATTATCTGTAATAGTGAAAAATTGAGGCCAGGCATGTGGCTCACTCCTGTGAGCCCAGCACTTTGGGAGGCTGAGGCAGGCAGATCATTTGAGGACAGGAATTCGAGACCAGCCTGGCCAACATGGTGAAACCCTGTCTCTATTAAAAATACAAAAATTAGCTGGGCATGGTGGTGTGTGCCTGTAATCCCAGCGACACAGTAGGCTGAGGCAGGAGAATTGCTTGAACCCGGTAGGCGGAAGTCACAGTGAGCCAAGATCACAGCACTGCACTCCAGCCTGGGTGACAAGACCACAACTCTGTCTCAAAAAAGAAAAGAAAGAAAAGAAAAATCGGATGCAACCTAAATGTCCAACTAAAGCGGAATGGTTTAAAAAAACAACTATGGGGCATCACAGTGTGGTTTACACAGTAGTAAATCAGAAGAGTGAGGTGGATCTATATATACCAACATAGAAATATCTCCAAGACATACCACAGAGTTTAAAAACAAAGCTGCAGAAAATGACCAGACCCACACGTGCAGCATCAAAAACAGTGATGACTCAGGGAAGGGGGTGAGATTAGGGCATGGCTGGGACAGTAAGGAGAAATGTTACTTTTTAAAACCTGTTTGCAACTGAGTTGTTCTGAATGTTTACAGTAGCAGTAGATTTTTGTATTACTTGTGTGAACTATTTTGCAAGATTTTAAGGGGAATGAAACAACCCACCCACCAAGTCCAGGTGTGGAGAAAAAGACTGCCCTCTTCCTGCTAGGTGGGGTGAGTGGCTTCCACTCAGGCCCTCAGTTTGGGTTTCAGGAGAGCAGTTTTCTGGGCCTCTGAGAACTAAGGGGTTGAATGAATGAAGGCGTGAGAAGACCCTGGAGACCAGAATTGTGGAGGCCTCCTTTGATGGAAAACAGTGCCCTTATTATGGCACCTGGGCTGAGAACTCAACACCCATGTGATGTAAGTGGACCTCTGCAAAGGAACATGTCCCAGAGCTGGGCGCCAGCTCCAAACAGTGCCCAGCACTTTAAAGGAAGGATTGCCGGGTCTGATTCTCTCCATCCCTGGGGATGGAAAAAAGAGGTGGCAGGTGTCACCTCACAACAGGGTGGCTTTGTGAGAGTGAAGCACTGAGGCGGAGGCTCGGGGTGAGCGTTGAGACATCCAGCGGCTGTGGGCTCCAGAGAGCAGGGGCTGTAGGGGAGGGCAGCAGCCAGGGCTTTGCATTACAAATATTCAACCTTTATGAATGAGCCAGGTGGGGAGGCTGCCCCAGCTGACTCCAGGGAAAAGCATACCTTAACCTCGCTAAGCCTCAGCTTTCTCCTCTGTAAAATGGGTGCAGGCTCTTGCCACCTCACACACACACACGAAGCCTCCTGAGTCAGACCGCCTCAAGTCTACTTACAAAGCTGCCACTTGCCGGCTGTGTGCCTTTTTTGTTTTTTATTTCCATCCAGCTGTGTATCTTAATTGGCCCAAGGCCTCAGCTTCCTTCCTCATCAGGTAAAACAACAACCTCACTCTTCCCTAATCTCAGAGGGCTATCACGAGGTTTAAATGAGACCATATCAGTACAGTCATGCCACAGTGCCTAGCACTAGAATCTGATCGATAGCTGTTTGTTACCATTATTAAGTGATAATTTATTAATTCTTATTTACAAAGCACCTATGTGCCAAGAACTGTGCTAGGCATTGCAGCACATCCCTGAGCAAATGATAATTCCTATGCTCATTGCATTTACAGTCTAAAGGAGATGTAAATAAAGGCACCTAGAGACATACCTCCAACTGATTCACTCCAGATTTCAAGGACAAATACCCTGAGGCCCAACACTCATCTCTTCCAAGTTCAGAATTTGGCCCCATCTGGGTTTATCTACGATGCAATTTTGCTAACACCTCCCTCCTCCCTGCCAATCCAAAGCATTGTGTATGGAAATGACCTCAAAGTGTCCCCAAAAATCTATGTTGTAAAGATGTCAAAAGTACAATGCAAAGTGACACAAATTGTTGGCAGTATCCACTTTAGCTAAACGCTCACCCTACCTATGCGCCCGCAAGTCCACTGCTGGATATCTGCCCAATAGAAATGAGCACTCACTCTGACCCAAAAATTCATGGAAAGATGTTCATAGCAGCTTTATGAGTGATAGCCAAAAACTGGAAACCCCCCAAACGTCCATTCACAGGAGAATGTACCACCAAACTATGACAGAGCCTCCAAATGGAATATTTAATTCAGAAATCAAGAGGAATGAACTCTTGACACAAGAAGCCACACTGATGAATCTTAAACACACAGCTGAGTAAAAGAAGCCAGACCCAGCCAGGTACAGTGGCTCATGCCTGTTATCCCAGCACTTTGGGAGGCCAAGGCAGGCGGATCATGAGGTCAGGAGTTCGAGACAGCCTGATCAACATGGTGAAACTCTGTAAAAATACAAAAGATTTTCTATGTCCTGAAATTTCCCTCATGTGACTGCCCCTGTGTTCCCTTCACTTCGGCCACGCTGACCTTCTTGCTGCTACTGAATACACGGGGTACACCCCAGCTCAGAACCTTTGCACTAACCGCTGACCCTGCCCCAGGATGTCCTCTTGGCCCTTCAAGTCTGGGCACACATCTCATCTTCCTATGGAGACCAGTCTGAGCATCTATGGATGACCACATGTGGTCCCCACTTGCCACCAGCCTCCCCCTTTCCCTTCTCTATGCTTCCTTTTCCCCTAGTCTCTCTGGTCTCCTACCTTACTGTCTAACTGTCTACCTTACTTATTCATTATGCTTATTATCTACCTCCCACGCTAGAACGTGAACAGAAATGCCACAAGGACAGGGACCTTTGTTGTGTTCACCGAGGCATCCAAGCCTTTGGACAGTTGAAGGAACAAACAGATGGAATTTGAGAGGCTGGCAGGGAGGTGCCAGGCTGCAGAGGCCTTGTAGGCCTAGGGGAGGCATGTGGGTTTCAGTCCCAGTGCAAAGGGGAGACACAGAACGGTTCCAAGGAAGGCAGAATCTGGGTCTGAGTTATGCTTTAAAAGCTCACTCTGGAGTCTGTGGAAAACGACTTGAAAGGGAATGATATGGTTTGGCTCTGGGTCCCCATTCAAATCTCATCTCAAACTGTAATCCCCACATATTGAAGGAGGAACCTCCTGGGAGGTGATTGGATCATGGGGGCGGTTTCCCCGCTGCTGTTCCCGTGACAGTGAGTGAGTTCTCACAACAGTGGGTGAGTTCTCACAAGAGCTGATAGCTTTAAAGTGTGGCACTTCCTTGAGCACACGCTCTCTCTCTCCTGTGCCGTGTAAAATGTGCCTTGCTTCCCCTTCACCTTTTGCCTTATTGTAAGTTTCCTGGAGCCTCTCCAGCCATGTGGAACTGTGAGTCAATTAAACCTCATTTGTTTCTAAGTTGCCCAGTGTCAGGTAGTATCTTTATAGTAGTGTGAAAACCGACTTAATACAGAGAGCAAGTTACTGTCGGTGCCCAGGCATTCAGTAGTTCCCAGGCTGGGATGGCAGCATGGAGGCCTGGGAGAAGTAGATAGACTCCAGAAATTCACTAGAGGTGGACTCACCAGGCCTGGGAGATCAGACAACTGTGGAGTTGCAGGAAGACAGGGCAAGGAAGACTCCCAGGCTCCTGGCCTGAGCAATAGGGTCAGAACAGAGCCATGTGCTGAGGTGGGGGAGACAGGAGAGGCCCAGGTTGGAGGCTTGGGGTGTCAAGAGTTCTGTTTGGGCCATGATGAGTTTCAGGTGCCTATTAGACTTTCAAGTGGAAATGTCAAGTAGCTGATTGGACAAGGTCAAAGCTCAGAAACACGGTCTAGATTGAAAATATATAATACATTAGGGGATGTTGGCTTAGAGTTCTCTTTAAGGCCCTGAGAATGTAGAGAGAGAAGAGAAGATATCCAAGAACTGTCCCTGAGGACCAAGCCCTGAAGCCTTCTGATTTGGCCCTTGAAAAATGAGGACTTTGCCCGGAAAGTAGGGAGAAGGCAGTCCAGGCCGAAGGAACGGCCTGGGCATGAGCTCCACCTAATAGAGCATGGGTCTCAGGGCTCTTTGAAACTGTGCAAGTCATCCAAAACAAAGAAAGCCTGAGAAACTGTCACAGCCAAGGCAGCCAGAGGGACATGAAGACTGAATGTCATGTGGTATTCTGGAGGTATCTTGGAACATAAAAGGGATATTAGGTAAAAACTCAGGAAATCTGAATAAAATATGGACTTTAGTTAGCAATAATGCATCAATATGGTCTATTAATTGTATCAAATGCACCAAACAATTAACATGTACAGCTGCATACATATAAGATGTTAATAACAGGGAAACTGGGTGTGGAGTATAAGAGAACTCTGTACTATCTTCCTAACTTTTCTCTAAATCTAAAACTGTTTTTAAAGATAATAAAGTTTTTTAAAAAAAAGAGCAAGAGTCTCATAAATGTGCACATGGGCACACACACATACATGCATTCCAAAAACTATAGTAATTTTTTTCTCTGGAGAGGACTTTGACCCTGGCCAGTCCCTATGGTACCCAAAAGACTCAGAGACATTGTGAATATCTCATCACCCCTCCTCCTGCCAAAGAACCAAGGGTCCTCACTTCCACCTACTTTCTTTCTGTTCACAGAAAACATACTCTCCTCAGGCCAGATTTCATAGTGAAAATGAGAAGCAGAGACTAAATGGCTCAGGTAAGTCAGACCCACCTAGAATTCCTAGGTGCGGCCAGAGTCCATCCCTTCAACATGCTCCACAAAAGCACATCTCATAGCCACAATTTCCTTGAATCCCACTTTGCTCGACAGTTGGTTTGGTTTCCCCCTTGCAGCAAAAGTTCTGACACTATCTGGGTTGAAATTCTGGCTCTACTACGTTATGTGATCTAGAGCATTATGTGATCTTAAGCCTCTTATAAGAGCTTTATTTCCTCTACTGTAAAAGGGGCATAACCATAGCTTGATCAAAGACCTATCGAGTGGATTAAATGAGATGGACTGTAAATTGGATATAATTTCATCTTCTAAAGAAAGGATATAAGATAGTAAATGCCAAATGGCTGGCATCGTGCCTGGCACTCCTGAATGCTGATTGTTGATGACAGACACGATCAGTGTGGCCAATCAGTGAGGTCCCCAAAGATCAAGTGCCACCTTGGGCCCCTTACTGGTGTCTGAGGTATGGCAGATGGGTCTTCGGGACACTGGATCATGTCTGTGGAGCAGAGAGGTACAGGACCTCTGAGTCAGAGCAGAGGCTGGTCTGGACAGTGACCATGGGCCAACCAAAGAGAGCTTGGCCAACAGTTGGCCTTGGAGGTACCAAGGCTGGTACCAACGCTGGAAACAGGTGGCAAAAGGGAGGTGGTACTGTGTGGCTGAGACCCCAGCCCCCAGTTCAAGATTCCCTGGCCCCTTTAGACACAGCCTCGGACAGAGGCCATCCAGTACCCTGGACAGCTCCAGGAGTCTCTGGATTTCAGGGGCACAAGTTTTGTGGGCTGAGACCTGGGTTGGGTCTTGGTTGTGCACACATGGGCAAGCCACCTCATCTCCCTGAGTCTCAACACCCTCACCTGTAGACTGGAGGGAATACCCACCCTTCAGGACTGTTGTGATGAGTGAATGAGAAAGCAGAGAGGCAGAGAAACAGATGGCCAAGGTCTGAAGTCAGACCACCTGCATTCATATATCCCAGCCCCACACTATGTGACTTCAGAGAAATAGCTTCACCCTTCTGAGCCTCAGTTTTCTCTCATCTGCAATGTTAATAGACCCGGCTTCATATGATTCTGAAGATTAAATGAAACAGAACATGAAGCACACAATTAACATGAGTTTTTGTTTTAAAAGAAACTTATCACCAGACACAGAATAGATCCTTAAAATGGCCAGTTTCTTGTATCTCCCAAAACCCCGGAGTGAGCTTGGCACCTCCCACCTTTAGACCTGATTGGCCCACTCACCTCTGATTGTTACAGACACTCCACAAAGCCAGAGAAAGCAATCTCGTGGAGTTCCACAGGCCTCCGCCTTAGAGAAGACCCTGCCTCTCAGTTCCACAGGCCTTTGCCCAGCAAAGACCCTGCCTCTCAGTGCCACCCACCCCATGCTACTTGGGACATGCATTAAAGTACCAGCATACACCTCCACCAGCCTCTGTTATGAGCTACACTCTATCTCACTCGCTCGCTCGCTCTCACTCTCTTGTCTGTATCAGCTGATTAACTTCACAAACCTATGAAGAAAGTACTCTGGTTATCCCCATTTTACAGATGAGGAAACTGAGTTTCTGCGAGGTTAGGTAACTAAATAATGGGGTCACACAGCTGTTAAACGGTGGCAATGGGATCTAATCTCAGGTATGGCACCTCAGAATCCCACGCCTGCTAGTAGCATCAACGAGGCCAGCGGCCAAAGGGGAAGAGTAGGTGGGAGACCAACCGAGGCTGAAATCAGGACACTGTGTTCTCGCCTTGGCTCTGGAACCCCGTGGCTAGGAGTCCTCACTGCAGACGCTCACCCGCACCCTGCCTGCTACCTGGGCGCGGGCACCTGCCCTGGTTCCTGTCCCCCTTCTTCCCCCTTCTTCCCCCTTCTTCCCCCGGCAGCAGCGGTGTCTCTCCCTCCCCCTGCCCCTCCAGCAGCTCCCCCCCCTCCCGCCTGCCCACGCCGCCGCGGTAACCTGACCCTCGGCGGGGTTTGGGCCTTGGGGCCGCATCACTGTCGCGGAGGCGCTTAGGCTCGGGACTACGCTCCTGCAGTGCGCTCCCGGCCCGCAGTGCTGGTTCCGCAGTAGGACGCACAGAGGCATGGCGCAGAGGCTGAGCGAATGGGCCCGGGGGCCCTCCGATGCCACCGGGCTCTACAGAGCCGTGCTCCTCAGGTCAGGTAAGTGGGAGCAACGCCACCTTCGCCGCGGGAAGAGCGCGAGGAGGGCTCGCGGGCGCACGGCTCTCAGCCCCTGGCAGGTCCGCCGCTGGGCGCCTCTGCTTCGTTGCTCTGCTTCTTTCCTAACCTTCCGTCATTCTGTTTGCTTGTTTGTTTGTTTGTTTGTTTGTGACAAGGTCCCATTCTTTCTCCCAGGCTGGAGTGCAGTGGTGCAATCATAGCTCGCTGCAGCCTCCAACTCCTGGGCTCAAGCAATCCTCCTGCTTCAGCCTCCCGAGTAGCTGGGACCACAGGTGGGCGCCACCATACCTGGCTAATTTTTTTTTATTTTTTGTAGAGAAAAGATTTCCCTAATGTTGTCCAGGCTAATCTCTAACTCCTGGGCTCAAGCGATCCTCCCGTCAGTCTTTTTAATTACTTTTCTTTTTTTTTTTCTTTCTTCCTTCCTCCTTTCTGCCTTTCTTCCTTTCCTTTTCTCCTTCCCTCTTCCTGCATTCATCCTTTTGGGGATCTTTGATACACATTGCTGTCTTCCTATGTGTGAGAACACGCGCACACAGTTTCTCACTACAGAAGTCCTGCGCGGTTCCATCTCCTGGCTGATCTCCTAAACAGAGACACACAAGTGCGCGAAGGTGGCTGTAGGCGCGGGAGGTTTGGGCCAGGAGAGAGGAAAGTGGGCACGACCCTAGCAGGCAATGGGGCGTGAAGAAGCAGGAGCCGGCGGCGTGGCTGAGGGAGGGCCGCTGTCCGGTGGGGCGTGACACAGGGTGGGGAGGGAAGGAATGGCAGAGCTACGACAGCGACCGCCTTTCTGTACGTGTCTGTGCAGCGATTTGGAAAGAAAGTTCGTGGTTTTATTTGTTAAGGTTGAGGGGGTGGGTGGCAGGCGCTTTTTCTCTTCCATCTTTTTGTTTGCGGTAAGCGGGTGTTGCTTTCCTTCTCAAAACAATAGGAGGCCTTTTTATTTAGAAAAATTAAGTTAATGTAATATATGACCAGTGTCCAAATAATTTGGATAATTCAGGAATCAGGGGAGAAAGAGAGAAAGCAAAGCCTCTGTAAGCTTTTGGGGTATTTCCTTCCGGACTCTCCTTGGAGACAGACGTTTGGAAGGAGGTGAAACTTGATCTCGTGCTGGGGTCCCTGCCCGGAGGGGGTCCGTGATTACAAAGCATCAAGGGACTTGGGCTCACGGGCCAGTTATCCTCTGCCTTGGACGAGAAGCTCGCCCCACCCGTGGGCCTGCCCGCGGACCCCTGGAGCCGAAAGCGTGAGGCAAACCAGCTCCGCGTCTACAGTGGCAGTGCGTGTCCCGGTGCCTGTCCCCGCGCCCGCCCGGCCCGCTCTGGAACCGCTCGCCTGTCACTTAGGCCCCGCCTCTGGGAGACCCCTTCACCCAGTTACGGGAATCACAGTTCTCCAAGTCCCACAACAAGAACTGGCCCAAACTTCCGGACTAACGGCGCCTTCCTAAAGGAAAGGAGAGTCTCAAATCTGGCTGAGGTGGGGCAGGCAGAGAGGGAGAAGCTCTTTGGGAGGCCAAGGCGGGCAGATCACTTGAGGTCAGGCATTGGAGACCAGCCTGGCCAACATGGCGAAACCCTGTCTCTACTAAAAATACAAAAATTAGCTGGGCATGATGACCAGAGCCTACAATCTCAGCTACTCAGAAGGCTGAGGTTGGAGAGTCACCTGAACCCGGGAGGCGGAGGTTGCAGTGAGCCGAGATTGTGCAACTGTACTCCAACCTGGACAACAGAGCAAGACTTTGTCTCCAAATAATAGTAATAATATAATGTGGTGGCATGTACCTATAGTTCCAGCTACTTGGGAGGCTAAGGCAGGAGAATCACTTGAACCCAGTAGGTGGAGGTTGCAGTGAGCCAAGATCACACCACTGCCCTCCAGCCTGGCAACAGAGTAAGACTCCGTCTCAAAAACCAAAACAAACCCAAAAAAAAAAAAATCTTGAATGCTCTTAAAACAAGTTGTCAGTATAATGGCTACCACTTACAGCAGCAGGTCACTATGCACACTATGTGAAGGGTATCTTCTTTCTTCCTCAAAAACTCACCTGTCCCATTTTAGGGAAGAGGATACAGAAAGTTGAAGGTCACCCAGTTGTCCAGTAATGGAGCCAGAATTAGGGTCTGGTTTGTTGCCAGAGTCCATGATCTTAATCCCAGCACTGGAAGAGTCACCCCTGTGGAATAACGCCTGTTTGGCCATGCCTAGAAGGCAATACAGTCCTGTAGTTCAAGTCCATCTGAGGGGCATTACCTGCATCCTAGCTGGAGCTCAGGTCATGTTCCTGGAAGGGAGGAAAGCATCTCTCTCTGCCCGGTTGGCAAAAGGGCACCTCCCCAGGTGCCTGTGGGCATCAGCAACCATACTCCTCTGCAGCCAGAGGGGAAGACACAGCCTCCATCCCTGCCTCTGCCAGGGAGGGCTGCCAGATAAAATACAGGGCACTCAGTTCCATCTGAATCTCAGAGAAACAACAAACCACATTTTAGTGCAAGCATGTTCCAAATATTTCATGAAATATACTAAAAAGTTACTTGGCACTCATTAGAAATGAAAGTGTAACTTAGATGTGTAGCGTTTGTATTTGGTACGTCTGGCAACTATGCTGCTGGGAATCACGAATGTGTTTGATTCGACAGCTATGGTCTGCGCGGGTTCTGTGCACGCGTGCATGCACACACAGGCACACAGCACACATGCTCTCTCCCACATCCTCTCCCCATCTGTGCTTCTTGTCTGACTACAAGGGAATTGAAACATACTGGGAGTGGGGG